TCTGTTTCTTTTTATTTACATATAGGTATGTATAATATATATAATAATAATACTGATAAAGGCGATATTTTCCTAATCCCAACTGTCAATTGAGATATTGGACGAACTCATTGAAGAATATTATATTTATTGTAGAGAAAATAAACCTTCATGTAAAAATATTGATTGAATAGGAAAATTAAATTATCTCAAAAATCATTATTTATATAACATATACCTACTTTATATGTACCTACCTACCATTATAGTACAATTATTTAGGTTTAATAGACAGTAATGAAAAACAAATTTAATGAAATTTTTTTTTTTATTGGATTACCCGCGGCAACATAGGCCATTGGGTGTGGGGAGGGAACTGTGGGATTTAAGGTTGGGTAGGTTGGTACACATGTGTGTTGTGTTTTTGGCAGAATTTCTAATGGATCACCATTAGGTTTCTGCCATGCCCCAGGGTAACTTGTTCTCTGGACACCGTTACTTGCCCGAAGAAAAATGCCACCCGGGGCCGAGGTATCGAACCCGCCGCCGACGCCTTAGTCCGCTCGGCCACTCCGTCCCCCATTAATGATATTTTTATATTTTAAGATTTGATAGATGAGTAATAGGTAATAAAGATTACATCAATCAGATATATTTTAAGTGCGACATCACTGACATGGAAGCAGGGAACTGCATGAATATTTCTTCCTCCAAGACTAATAAAAAAAAAAAATTAAATTATAACAAGTTGATTTCATACCAGGGTTATGAATTTATGATTTATACTTTATATATAGTGGTTAATGTTTTGTTCGGTATATATTATATTATTATAACTGTATTATAATATATTACAAAATTGTTATTATAATAATATTGAGTAAAGTGTACCTATAAGAAAACGCATATTTTGTATACATTCAGGGGCGCATTAAGGGGGGGCAAAAGGGGCATTTGCCCCGGGCGGAAGTTTTTTGGGGGCGGTACAATTTTGTAATTTTTTTTTTTTTTTGTATCTCAGAGTCAAAAATAAAACATACAAATTGTATGACATAATGGAAAACTCGGGTTTAAGAAACAACTAATAATAATTAGAACTATCATACTAATGTACTATTAAACCTTATAAATTATGTATATAAAATTATGTCATAGTATGAGATGGGCATTTATATGCGAGCTTCAAACTAGCACCCTCAGTTTATTTCAGTATTTCACCAATCATTTATAAACTATCGTGGTTTATTGGTTCGGAATTTTTCTTTTCATTACAAATATTAACAACTGTTTACGAATTCACGAATTCATTTTTTTTTTGTCCGTCATCATCTTTTAGGGCAGTAAAAGTGCTTGGATTTTCTTCAACAGTATCTTTTCTGATAGGAAAGTGAATCTAGTTGGTACTTTGGGGGGGGGGGGGGGGTCAAATTGTTATAAGCATTTAAATTCCAAATATTGACAAAATACGTGAAAATGAAGAAAATTTGCAAATTATTTCGAGTTAGAAATTCATAAAAAATTTTCTTTTTAAATCTAAGATATGAAAATGTAATGCAAGATTCCTCATAAGTTTGTCTACCTTTATCAAAAAAAAAAAAATGTCTACAAGAATCTCAAATTAAATTTTTATGAACGTTTGAAATTCATATTTTTACAACATTTGATATTCACTCGATTTCTCGTGTAACGATTTTCTAATTTTGTTGTAATTAAAAAACGAATGACTGTAGATACTTGAAAATTTTACTAAATTTTTATATTAGCATTTCCTATACACCATATAGTTTTGAAAATATTTTGATTCTTTTTGAGCTATTTACGGACATTTTCAGTTTTCAATATTTTAATTTTTTTTTCTATTCATATCAATAAAATTTTATTTGTATGGTAAAAAAGCTTGAAAATTTAATGCAAAGCTCCTAATATATTGTTACAATAACACTTGAAAAATATTAAAAATACATAGGCACAATTTTTTTTAATAATCATTTAAAATTCAAATTTTGACAAAATTTATCACATTTAAAATTTAATAATAATTTTATAGTTAAAAATTTATAAAATGTTCAACTTTTATAGCTAATGATTGAAAATTTAAAATAAGATTCTACGTAAATAGGTTATATATAAATTGCTTTATTCACCTTAGTATCATCAAATATACTTAGTAATATCATAGGCTGACTAACCGTCTTCGCTCAGAATCGTTTTTCTTATACAATGATGTTAGTATATCATTGAATTCAAATTTAATACCATCGATTATACAGCGACCCACTTGTACCCTACTGTACAGCAGAGCACCTTTTTTTTGTTTATCAAACTTAAATAACTTTTATTTTGGTTTTGATATCGGAAATATAAAAACAAAGTTACAGAGTAAATTTTCTCATTTTTATAGTGTGAACATTTAGTTTCTTAGCTTAGAGTAGAGCCTGAATGTTTTTTATACCCGTGCAAAACAGTTTTGCCTATGTTGTACCTACGTCTGTAATACGGAGACAACACATGTGGGTGTACCTAGCGTACCTAGCCTCTTCTTTACAATCATACAAACTATTTGATACATTGCACTTTAGAAATTATTGTATACACTATACAAATTAAATCTAATGCAATGCAGAAATATTAGGATTAGGAGGTGTGAACCATAAATTATCCCAGCACCCCCTGAATTCACACCCAATGTGCGCCTATGGCTGTCAATAGAAAATGAGATGATTAGAAGTATTGATTGGTCAAGTATTATAAAAGAGTTTGTGAACAAAAAAATAATAAAATATTTTAATTAGTATTGTTCCATATTTGTCATTTAAATAGTTTTATAATATGTAATAATATTTTATTGTTAATAAAGAATAAAGATATATTTATTATTATAAGTCAATGCTTAATACATAGGTACTCCATAAATAACTAAAAATATAGGTGTTGCTTACTAGGAGGTATTTATTAGTTAATGAAATATAAACATTTTACATAATAAATATTCCAATTACCAGTACTATTTTAAAAGAAAGGATTATTATTCCAAGTTCCAAATAGATATTTAGTAATTAATTTAATAAGATATCTATGTAGGTATAATAACTGTATGAAATGTAAGGTACTAACTTAATTTTTCGAGCGCAGCGAGGAAATTTTTTTTAAGTTTTTTATACTTTCATTAATATTCATAAAATACACCAGGGGCGCAAAATAATTTTGCCCCCCATATGTGAACCCTTAATGCGCCCCTGTATACATTATACATAATACATATATTAATATCCATGGCGGTATGGCATTGAATGATTTGAGAAGATAACACGATAACCACTGCGTTACAAAACCTATTTTTCCGGTCTTCACCGTCCGTCCAATCAAGTAACGGTTCTACAGATCAGCAAAACAACATATTAATATTTATTATTTAATAACAACTTCGTGTGCTGCTTTTCAAGGTAAGATGTACCTACTTAATAAATTCGAACTTGCTCGACTTATAATTACTAATTAGTGTAGGTATACACTATACACGACAAGACAAAAGCGTGTACAATCAAAACGCACTTGTATATAATAATGTATACACAGCCTACCACCTATTAATTTAGTTGTGAAATTATCCATCATCGATATAATAATAAAATAATACAATGGTTTTGCAACATTTGTTATATCATCAAAGTATATTTGAACCGTTTTTTATATTTTAGTGACGGACAACGAAAGCGAATTTATACGGGAGAAATATCTATAGAGTCTAGCTTAGTTAGTAAGAATGTAAAATTATTCTCTTTAAGGGGGCTGCAGCCGGTGTTGTCAAAAGTCAAAACTAATGTAGATTTAATCAATCTAAACATTTATTTTGTTTGTTATAATTTGTTCAATATATTTAAATTCCGTATCATAAAATAAACCTTAAGGGGGCTGGAGGGGGCTCTAGTCAATGAAAAAAAGTGACTTTTAGATCTTATTGATTAAAAAAAGTGATTTAGACCAATAAGCTAGACAAAACTGGAAGAATTTGGTTTGACAGATTTTAATTTTGAAAACGAATTATGATTGATCAACAAGTTTAATAGGGAATGATCAAGGCGATTTTAAATACCTATTCCAATTATTGTTAGCTATATCATTTTTATTTCATCATTGTTAGGTATTTATAATGAATAATATAATTAATACAAAATAGCATATTTTTTCGATATTTTTATTCTTGGATATCACAGCTGAAAAAAAAAATATTCAAAATCGTCTCGATCATTCCCTAGTAAACTTGTTGATCAACTATAACCCGTTTTCAAAATTAAAATCTGTCAAACAAAATTCTTCCAGTTTTGTCTTGCTTATTGGTCTAAATCACTTTTTTTTCATCTGCTGCAGCCCCCTTAATGATAACATGTGGTCTTAGGCACTCTTAGCTAACTTTACCTAATCTATTAGTATTTTGCTTAGGAAATCCCAGTATTCACTATGTAATCGTTATTCGAAAACAGTGTCATTGTCAATTAAAAAATATAATATTATATCGCGTAAATAACTATATACCTAACCTCCTTGTAAAGTATCAAGTAGGCAACCAAAGCGGTACTCGTGAGTTTATGAAATATATTGACACTTTCCCGGCTCAAATTATATATTTTTATCGCTGTAATATTATTATCCGTATAATAATATTTTGATTGTATATAATAAAACGTCATATCTATTCTGGTGGAATTTTTGATGATCCGGTATTTGTATAAACTGCACTTAAACTGCATTTGTGTTCGAAACGTTCAATGGCGAGGGATGGGTAAGGATCCTAACCTAACCTAAGAACCCAAGTGTCATAGAAATGTAAACATTCGACTTTTTCGTCTGAATCGTGTGCGGGAGATTTTCATTGTAAGTCCAACTTCATTCCTCATTTGTAACCGTGCGTGGGTCAGGTTAAAATAAGAATATAAAATACTTTTGTTTTGGAGTATTTACATCATTATAATAGTAAATGTATGTGATTGGCGTGATGATTTATAGAAAATAATCAATCCGACATGAACAAAATGGGCAGAAATGTCTTGGGATCGGATCTATCTGAAACGAAGGACTTACGTAGACTTACCACGATCATTCCAGGTCGCCTTTACCTAGCGACCTACTCGACGCACTGCCGTCATCCGGACACACGGGGACTGCACTTCTTTAGCACCGACTACAATTACTGGGATGATGGCTTGGCGTCCCACGAACCTCTAAATTTGGGCTGCTTGGTACAGTACATCCGTTATTTTAACGACAAAATGTACAACCACCGGTTCGTGTCCAAAGCTATTGTACATTACACTGTCGACAATTCCAAAGAATATAACGACCCGGCTTTCCTCATCGGTGCTTATTCGGTAAAATTTTAAATATTCTTGTATATAGCCAGTGTCGTCATTTGTGGAGGGGGGGAGGTGGGAGAATTTGCCACACCCTTGATTTTTATGGGCTGGTAAAAATTTCGGCACGACCCAAAACTCATAATCGTAAATAGCTACATTTTTAATAAACGTAGAAACATTAAAAGAATAAAATATTATTAAAGTTCATGGTTAATATGCAACACTTTAACAGCTGATTACTGAATGACTTATATTGATATATTTATTAAGACTTTCAAAATCAGCATTAAGATTAAAATATTAAAGAACGTGTAATAGTTTAAATAATAAAAGGAAAGGTGGAGGAGCCCAACTTAAAGTCATACCAAATGATTCAAAATAGAGAAAACTTAATTTATTTGTTAAAACGATTAGTGCTTCTTCAAACCTAAGTAGTAAGAATTGCAATAAATACAATTTTAATTATTATTTTCTATAATTCAACTATTTAAAGGATGGTGTAATTGAATGTAATTTATGATGTTGATTGAAGATAATTTTAAAGGGTCGTTGTTGCCAATCGAAAGTCTGAACTGACTACCAAGGGTGGTACCAAGTATGTGAAGGTTTATAATATTTTTGTCGTTACTATTTTGTATCTAAGTGTTTTGAAAAGAATGTTTGTTTTGTTATACATTGTGTTTGAAAAAATTAGTGCAGAGGCTATTATTAATATTTTTTATTATGTTCATAAAAAAAGGGAGAACAAAGAAGAATAAAGCGAAATGTAGAGTGGAAAATTTTAGATTATTAAAGGGAGGAATAAATACTACTTTATGATACATTATAATGTTATATTATGATTTAATATAGCGTATTATAGTGTCAAGACGCCGGGACTAAGTTCAATAAAAAAAAAAATTAATATAGGTAATTTAAATAATATTGCTAGTGTATACTTGTAATATTATAACGTATACGTATTATATTATATGGCCCGAATCATTCGATGACAAGAAGCGACGAGCTTATATTATTTGGTCACCTCAATTATAGGCCATAACCACGTCATGGACATGGCCAAGGAAGTTCCTCATGGTTTACTCACGGAACACCCATTATGGTCTAGCACATATTGCACTATGTTTTATTAGGTGATATTCTATTTGTATATATATATATTAAAATAAAAATGTTAGTTAAGTTAAATAATATATAGGTAGGGGAACTGGGGCATGAAGATACTGGGGGTAAGCTGGGACAACGTTATTACTTATTCCTCCATAATTATTAATAATAATATGTTTGAAACTTCTTTAGAATATATTTTGGAGGCAAGTTGGATAATTGTTGTAAATAATTTTTGGATAACCGATTGATATTTCATAATATCATTGTTTTTGAATTTTCGTTTCAAAGGTCTTCGCAATTTTGCTATTATATTTCGCTATTTCGATATTTTGAGGCAAAAATAATTTATACGAATACTATATTCTATTTAATATTTCTGTAGTTTAGTATTATTATCAAATATTTATTAAGTATTTAATAGTTTGGATTCAATTGAACATAATTAGTCTATCTGGGACATAATAAAACCAATCATGTGGTGTTCTGTTAAGGTATTACCAAAGTCTGGCTATAAAATAAAATAGGTTTGTTTAATATTTATATGTTTTTTTTGTAAAATTATTATAAATAAGTTCCTATATTGATATATCTGAAAAAATATATCTATTGAGCATTTGAATTTTGAGTGACTATTACACCTACTCAATGGCAACTGAAGGTACACTCAAAACCTACAATTGTATAGTACAGCTCTTGCCGTGGTATAATTTAGAACTGTTGAATCAATTCTGATACCTATATTATGATAAAAATTTTGCGGTGTTTGAGGTCCAGTGGTGACAAATATTTTTTTCAAATTTATACTGCTGTACAGTAGGTTACAAGTGGGTCACTGTATAATGGATGATATTAAATTTGAATAAAAGCGATATAATATCATTGTATAAGAAAAACGATTCTGAGCGGAGACGGTATGTCAGTCTAGGTATAAGACATATTATACATATCTATGGTACTAAACCAAAATTTGACCTATAATAGGTACCTATGATAAATTCCAAATTAATCATATCACAATATCCATTAGGTACTTATAACGCACTATACATCAACAAAAACCGTGATACTATCATAGATATATAATAGTACACTTTAGAAGTTTCAAGTACCCACGAATAATATTATTCAATCACAACAAAATAACTAAAATAGTTAGGTATTCTAGGTTTTTTATTATGTAATTTCGTCCAAATTTGAATTTAAAATGTCTGTAAAAAAAAACTGTGTTCATATATTTTTTAGATTTTTTGGTTACAGTATGAACTATTTATGTGAACCTTTTTTTTAAATTTGCAATCCTTAGCTATAAAACTGAACATTTTATAATTTATTAATTACAATGATTGATCATTTTCGAGATTTTGATAAATGTTGTCAAAATTCGATTTTTAAATACTTATAAAAAAAAAATGGGCCTATGTATTTTTTAAATTTTTCAATAGCTATTGTAACAATCTATCAGGCGCCTTGTATTAAGTTTTTACACTTTTTGGCCCAACAGATAAAACTTTATTGATATTTGTAGAAAAAAAAACTAAAAAATTGAAAACTGAAAATGTCCGTAAACAGCTCAAAAAAAGTCAAAATATTTTCAAAATTGTACAGTGTATAGAAAATGCTAATATGAGCATTCAGTGAAATTTTCGTGTATCTACAGTTATTTGTTTTTGAATTACAACAAAATAAGGAAATCGCTACATGAGAAATCGAGTGAATATCTAATGTTGTAAAAATTTGAATATCAAACGCTCATAAATATTTAATTTGACTTTCTTATAGACATTTTTTTTTTTGATAAAGGTAGATAATCTTATAAGGAATCTTGTATTACATTTTCAAATCTTAGATTAAAAAAGAAAAATTTTTATGAATTCTTAACTCAAAATAATTTGCTAATTTTCGTGATTTTTCCATATTTTGTCAATTTTTGAACTTTAAATGCTGATAAAAAAAAATTGTGATTAAGGATTTTTAATATTTTACATCTGCCTTTGAAAAAATATACTAGGAGCCTTCTATTAAATTTTCAAGCTTTCGAAACCAACAAATAAAATTTTATTGATATTTCTAGAAAAAAAACTAAAAAAAAATGGAAAATGAAAATGTCCCTTAACAGTTCGAAATAAATCAAAATATTTTGAAAATGTTATCGTGTAAATAAAATGCAAATATAAACAACCAGTGAAAATTTCATGTGTATACGTTCATTTCTTTTAGAGTTACACCAAAAACCAAAATCGATTTTTTGGAAAACCGATTTTGCGTAAAAATTCCCGTTTTTCCTTAATTTGTATGTTGTTTTTCCCGGCGCTTGTGAAAACTACTAGGAAATTTTTACTTTTGACCCCCCCCCCAAAGTACCAACTAGATTCACTTTCCTATCAGAAAAGCTACTGTTGAAGAAAATCCAAGCACTTTTACTGTCCTAAAACGTGATGACAGACACAAAAAAAAAAAAAATAAAAAAACACACATCATTGTAAAATCAATACATTCATCGTTTCACTCAGAATCTAAAATTAAATTTAAAACGACGTCCTTTAAATACCTATACGTCCCTGTAGATTGCACAATGCACAAACACCACATACATTTTAAAAAATATTATTAAAAAATTGATGTTGTAGATTGTCGTAAAACAAATGGACCCCTTAACTATTCATTCGATTCTGAAGAATAGCAACCATTGCGTTAACGGAGTGGATTCGATTTTCGGTCACGGCAAGAACAATTATGGAATTGACTTACACGAATGTTTGAATGTCGTGTACAAAGCGATGAAGTACAGGATAGTAAACTTCAAAGATTTCAATTTCCAGGAGTACAACAATCAGTGTCTTGACATGACATGGATAGTGCCCGACAAGTTAGTCGCTTTCCGCGGTCCGATTGAATGCGACAACATTGCAGCGGGGCCTGGCCGAAACGTTCTACTGCAGAATTTCGTTAAATACTTCAAAGAAAATAACGTCAAGACAGTGATCAGACTGAACGATACAGAATACAAAAGTTGTTGGTAAATATTTCAAATGATCGATGACCGTGATTTTTTATTTTATTTTATTTTATTTTACAATACGGGACGAACTCTATAATAACATGAATAAAATAGCAATAATTTTGCTTTATGGAAACGAGGCTCAAGTTTTAATAAATAATATTATAAACATTATATTTATTACATCATACCTGAATAGTGAATATATTTTAATTCATTTTTAACAAAATCTTCAACATATTTTTTTTAAATCAATACTTTTATTGTGCCATACACAGTGGCGTATATACAAATTATTTTCATTATAGGCCAATTTTGGACATTTATCACTAGTCAAGCATAGCATGACTAACATATCCATATTTATACATACTTTAGGCAGCTGGATAGTTATACTAATTAATAATTATGACATATACAATACAAATAAAAATTGCCCTATTTAATTTTATAATTATTATGTAAAATTAATTTTTTAATTCTTTTTTTAAAAATATTGACAATTTATTTCATATATATATATTTATTTTAATGTTATCTTATTGTGAATTTAACATCAAAGTCATCAAAGCAAGTCCTGACAATCATTTCATTGTTGATTCCTCAAAAACGATTTTAATCAACCGTCTAAATTAATCATGGTGAAAAACTGTAAACAGTGTAGATATACATGAAATGCTTTAAGTGAACCTGCGATTTCAGTATGGGCTCTGGCCTAGGGTGCCTCCCACCTATATACGCCATTGCCAATATGATACAACAAATATTATCGCATTATGATCTATAGATGGTTGCAGGTTTTCAGCTGCCAATATTAATCATGTTGATTTATGTTTCAAAGACGCGGTTCAGCTCCAACTGCCGCGATTTTGAAAACTTTTCTACGAATTTCCGAACAGACACCTTACGCCGTAGCAGTTCACTGCAGGGTAACATGATTAAACAATATTAACATATTTTATATTATTATAATGTTTAACAAAAGCCATTCATTTTCTCTTAAGAATATTAAATGCTTTTACATAATATTTTAAATAATTTTAAAGTAGGTACTTACTTACAATAATTATAACTATATAAGCTATGACATTAGATGCAGATAGTTTTGGGTGGTTAGTTGGCATGTGATGTCCCTTTATGAATTTTAACTTTAAATAAAATTGTATCATTATTATTTATTATTTTAAATTGTGATTATTTATTTCGATGAAAAATCTTTAAGAAGCCCTGTCCAACCCCTGATTTATTATTCGAAGTCCAGCCCGGCCCGGCCCGAAAAATTGTACAAAAAAAAGCCCAGGCCCGGTCTGGAATAAAATTCCAAGACTTAAAAAGCCCGGTCTAACCCTTTATTTTATTTCAAAGGTCCGACCCGGTCCAGTGTCACTATGGGCCGAGCTTTTTAAGGACCGGGTCGGGCCGGCCCGGCCTTTGCGGGTCTTTAGTAGGTACGTCACGTACGACATAGCAAATTTTCGGTTGCTAGTTTAAATATTGTGATATCATTTTTGATATTAGAGTGAATTTACCTAATACCTATTATCAAACTTTTAGGTAACAACATTACCTGTGGTCTCTAGTTGGTTTTTACGGTATTTTAATTTTTAAGTCAGTTATCAGTATGTAAAATATTAATATTAGAAAATGCTTATAACTCACTTAAAAATTAAAATATCGTAAAAAACCAACGAGAGAAATCAGATATTGTTACCTAAAAGTTTGATGATTGGTCAATTCACTCTAATATCAAAATTGGCAGCACCTTATTGAACTATCGAACGAAAATTTCCTATGTCGTACGTGTGTAGGACGGAGACAATACATGCGGGATGTGTCAGAGGAATTGCTGGTATCAAAAGATAAAAAACAGTGTTTCTGTGTGTGTTATTTACTTATATTATGACCACGTATTATTGTATCTACATATAAATTAATGTGTAGTTGTAAATGTTGTAATACAAAAAAATAAATTACAAAGGCCGGTCTGGGAAGAACAGGAACGTTAATCGCGGCCTACCTGATACAGCATTATCGGATGACGGCATGCGAAGCAATCGCTTGTGCAACCGGGTACGGTTGTGCCGTCCGGGATCCATAATCGTGAAATCACAACAATCGTTTTTGGCACACAACGAAAGAATGTTGTGGAAAAAAAGAGATGCACTTCGGTAAGCGGCACTTATGGCTCTTTAGGTGCACTAGGTGCCGTAATAATTAATAATCAATAAAATATATCTTGGCCCGATTAGCTTTCGAACGAGGGCTGCTGCGTCACAAATATGCCTAATATAAGTACTAAATAGGTTTCTATAAAGCCAAATGTGTGTTGTATCTCAAACATCGAATTTTACAAGAAAGCTGTTACAAAAAAACTACAAGTCATGTTTAAATTGTTTTTTCGTTTAGGTACTACCTATATTGACTTAAGTATATCTGTATAAGTATACTTTAAAATATTTAAAATATTTTTTTCCCTAATAAATAATAAAAAAATAACAAGTGAATTTTGTGTTCAATAATTCATATAGATACATACAGTTTTGACAAACTTTCTGACAATGTTTGATTTCTTATTTTATAAAAATTTAAAATAGTTTTACCCAGCTTAGTACTTAAGCCTTAGATAGGTAATGATAAATTCTTATTCTTATTTTTTTTGAGTTTATCTGTTTATCTGATAATAAAATGGTTGCTTATTTATTTTTTGCTTCCCCTCCAATTCAATAATCCTGGCTACGTTACTTATAGATATAATACAGGTGCTAAGGCCAGATGTTGGCAAAAATGTATTAAGATAAAAGTGTATATTATGTTTTATGGAGTAGGTATGAACATTTTAGAGTCTCCCTTCATAACACTAAGACTAAGTCAAATACACCACTGACCTATAAGTAGTACCTATTACTTATTAGGTACCTATGCATATTTTATGATACTCATATAATACATTTAATATTATATTAGATGTCCATTGTTTTCAGAAAAGAAAAGTATGGTAACGCATCCAAATTGACGTATTGCACTCTGGGGATATACAGGGCTAATTGCCAGAAATAATCGACATATCGCCTACGGCCTACCTCTCAAAGTGTGCCACTGCAGTGACGTGGTGTAGTCTAAATGTTTACCAATTACAGCATATATATATATTTACCGACACGGAAAATATCATGATCGTTGATACTGATCATAATAGCGCAACCACGGTAGATATAAGATCATAATATTATGCGCCCATCAATTTATTATATTATATACCTATAATGTTATGTATTGTGTCCCTAGTTTCCCACAAATCTACAATTCTATCTACTGTGTAGTTCTCAAAAATATTTAAACACTGTAATACTTTTTTACATTTTAATTTGTTAAACAATCTTTTTTGACTTATATATAGTTATACATAGTGACCATTCACTTTACAATAATATAATATATACCTATATTTATTGTTTATATTTTATGCCAGTGTTAATAAATAATAATTTACGTGCATATACCATTTAAATATACAAATTAATACAATTTATTATGCCTTATACATATTTGATATTTTATAAGTAAGAGGACTATTTGTAATTATTACACTTTTCGTAATGGATATACGCAGTATACGTAACTTTAGCCTTTAGCACAATAAGAGATAAAATATAGTGAAATGTAAATGCTTAAATTATGTATAATTATTAGAGTTTTTTTTTTCAGTGGTAATGAAAATTGTATGTTTTTTTATCCAGGTGCAAGCACAAGCTGGACCAAGTAAGTTATTTGTTTCAACTAGTATGAAAGTTAAATTGGTAACTTAAATATACAACTGGTACCTAATAAAGTTAGAGTACACAATTAAGTTGGTTTTTGAAATTTTACAAATTCTTAACTTAATTAGGGTTAGGGACAAATGTCAAATGGTACAAAAAAAAAAAAAAGAGTCCACGCACACAATTAATAAAGACTATTGATTTATTTCTTAATAGAAATTCTGTTATCGTGATTACTGGTAAATGATAAATATAATAATACATAAATGTAAGAGTGATAAGTGATAAGTGATAACGTTGATTTTGATATCTATTTTGTTAGGAGCACAGACTATAATGAAAATACGACTATTTTCCACGGGTTGCTACTACTGCCACTAACGTCTATTGTTACGATATGATAATACACCGATTATTTAAACTATTATTGCTTCGATATAATTATGATACGATATCAGTTTGTTTTCAAATAATTTAACTCCGATATTTAAAAAAAAAAAACTTACTATGGAAATATTAACACGACAGACAATTACTCCGATAGTAATCATTTTTTCAAAGATATCAATATTATCAAAGAGAATAAAAAACAAAGATCGAAAGAAATTTCGATTAACTGATTTAAATATCTATGTATTTATTTATTTTTTCCATTTATATCTGTCCTAAAAAGCTTAATTACATGTCAAATATTATAGCCCAGGGGTGGACTGTGCTACTGTGCAATTGCACACTGGGCCATATTATGTCCCCCGGGCTGGTAAAAAATAATCCACCTAGTATAATATTATTATTGTTAACAATTTTTTCAGGACATCTTTTATTTAGAACACCTTATTTTAGTAAATGGTAGTAGACCAACATGATCCACTCCGCTCTACCAAACTTGAAATACTTATAAGTTATAACTATAGGCCCAACATTTTAATGCAAAATGCATTATTTTTTATAAAGTTCCCAGCAATGCTTTTCAAGTACAAAATCCGTTTCATAAATCAAAGAACTGAAAACTTAAACTATTATTTTTCATTTTTATCAGTTTTGGCGTTTTTTAAGCAATCATTTTTAGGTACCTAATTTTGTTAATTTTTTTTTTTAGTTCACATTTATACGTGTTATACATTATTGAACTAAAATTAATTGTCACATAATTTAAAATATTTTGTTCCGAGCTCTCCGACCATTCATAATGTGTCAATCATACATACGATTTATGATTTCAATTTTCAATACATCGGTAACGTCTTTATTTATCTACAGTTTAAGTTTAACGGCTGTTATATGTATTCCGGACCAGTAAGTAGGTACCTACCTAACAAGTAATTGGTCAGATGATGTTACCTACATCATAATCGGGTTTATTTAAATTAGTTCGAATTTTTGTTTGCTTAAAAATATTTAAAACAATTTTTTGGTGATTTTTTAAGGACATTATAATTTGGGTTAAAATGCATTTTTTAGGGCTTAAACCCATAAACTACTCTTCCAAAATTTGATTTTAATATACCAAAGTACTTAAAAAAATAAACTGCGTTAGAGTATCAAAAAATTTGTTTCAACCAAAAAATATGGCTGTAGCCAATGAATGACTCAATACAATCTTCGGTTGCTTCAAGTATTATCTAAATTCTAAATAAAATATAAATAGTTGTACCTACTTAAATAAGTTTATTATGAGTTACATACTCAAACAATTAATAATTCCTTATATTATTGTGTACCTGAGTAAAAATGATCAATCTATTACATCTACATTTTATCTATTATTTAAGATTTTAAGTACAATAAAAGTAGCAAACAAATTAATATTACCTACGCCTCTAATAAATTTTAATTTTAAAAACATTTATCGTCTGTTGATCATGGTTTATGTTGTAACAGTATAGCCAGTATAGGGCTATTAATAGTGGGCCAACTGGGTCCCAGTCAGTCCCTGATATCTATAGCCATTTGGCCACATAGGTAAAAAAATAAATACATTCAAATATTAAATAATAATAATTATTATATTATACTAGCATTTATATGTAAGAATAGAGATATTCAAAATCATAAATTATTTCTTTCAAATAATATAGCAGTAAATTAATGCAATATAATTATTTTTTATTTATTAATAAAAATATATTATTTTTAATAAATTAAATATGTATTAGTAATAAAATATTTAATTTTTATTTAAATTATGAGACGAGATAAAAATAATAATGTACATCGTATATTGTATAGAATAATATTATTATAAGTAAAATTATTTTCAATTTATTTATTAACTGTTTCAATGTTCAAACACAATTAAAAATGTTCATTTGTTTACTCTATGTTCTACCACCGTGTGGCCTTTTGAGTACCAACATGTAGTCTTCTGCGTAGGTACCACTATAGTGTGTTGCTGCCGTGTCGTGTCCCTTGTCCAGGGGGGTCAGCTTAGGGGTTGTAAACCTCTCCCCCAAAAAATCTACCGCCACTGGTTATGTGCGTACCATATAGTTTGAGAACCGCTGCACTAGCTAGTTATACTAATGAAGACTAAATTATGATTCATCTACACTACCTACCTTTTACAACATTTTGATTCATTTATTGGATTATTGTTCATAAATTGTATGAATATAATATTATATTATTATGTCACAGGAAGCTTAAATCAAATCTGAATTGAAGACATCAATAAACGACGAGCTAAATCTCAAAAAAAGTTATGGACAATTTCTACGAGCCAGATGTAAAATGTGTAGTACCTACAGTACCTACCTAACTATTTCCATTCAATCAACCACAAAATAACAAAAGATAAAACAAAATTTTTTTATATAATATAAGTTACAACATGTTTTTTTATAATTTTATATTTTATACAATTAAGGAGTTCTATTAAATAAATATATTATAATGATTTATTGTTTATTTATTGATTTATTGTTTATTTAATGATGTATTGCATATATGTTTATTTAATTAAAAAATACAGTATTTATTTATTGACTATAGTTACATAAAGTTGTATACATAACTCAAATGGCCCAACTTAGGCATCCTACCTAACACTACCTATGTCAATATATGGACCACCTTTATGCTTTATAGATATCTAAGTTACTAAATATTTAATACCTATACCTACTACCTAGTGATATATAAATCAGTATAAGCTGATACTTTACAAAATTAACAAATTTATATCATGTATAATATAATATATTATGTAGGTATAGATAATAATAACTATCAAGGTACCTATATATATTTTAATTTAAACCATAAAACTGACCTGTAGTCAATACATTTTTGACTAAATTACTAAATAATAATACTAATATGGTTGATAGGTATGCCTTGAATAAAATTAAGAGTTTGATAATAGATCAATTCATTCTAATATAAAAACTGAAAATACTACCCTATGACCTATCA